TATATATATATATATATGATTCTGCTATCTATGTTTTAATTTTGTTTCTAAAATATAAAACTCTAGTTTAGGAAAAAGATAAAAATATTGCTATTAATAAAATATTGTACCCTGAAGAGTTTTTCATTAACATAAATCCTACCAGTATTTCTTCATATTAAATTAAAATTACATACAGTTTATTTCTTCAGAAGATAATTAATACTTACTGCCATATCTGTGATTATTAGCTAAGAGCTGTAACTATAAATGAATTCTACACAGACACAAATAATACATTATTTATCTCAAAAACATTATAATTCAGCCTTAGGAACATTATCATGTTAAGCAGTTGTTTTAAAAAGCTAAAAACAACACTAAGAAACTGGAGTCACAAACTTGTCAACAATTTTATTAAATACTCCCCCATATTTTTTTAAAGAAGTATATCTTAAAAAAAACAGCCTTACTAATTCTCGTAGCACAAAATAAAGTAAAATATTATTTCAAAATAATGTCCAAATTAAAAGAAGAAAATTTCAGCTTCAAATCAAATGCCAAGAATTCCAAAATGTGTTATTTAATTCTCAATAATTACTTCTGCCAATGCCTAATTCAGATAAATATCCGAATTTGTTCAAAAATTATTACAACCAGTAAATTCAGGTCTTCCCTCCAAAGGCTTTGCAAGTACAATCCACAGCACTGAACAGTGAATTTTAAAAAAACACCCAACTTTTTCTCAGTTTCAAGTTTTTAAGCCTTGTGGACAGGGAGTAGGAAAAAGGAAATTTACTAAGCAGTACAAAGGAAATCTTCTTGTCCTCTATTGTGGCTGTGGGGGTGTTGCCCAATTCTACCTTACTACTGTTCAAAAAGCAAATTTTGAGGGGAAAAGTACAATATAAAAAATGCTAACCACAAGGCATTCCCTTTCTTACCTTAATAGTGCTCGCCATAATGTATCTAGCTTATTGATCGCTAATAATTGTCAATAATAATTATTGCTTCTGACCAGAAAGAAGTTTTGATGAAGTTATTTAGAACGGATGAGATTGTGCTAACTCTGGGAAATGAAGTCAGGCAGTGGCAGGAAGAGGTTTCTATTGGTCCTGGCTACTGCAGTTTGAAGAAACAGGATATTTGGGAGCTAAGAGATAAGAGGTCCTAAAACAATGTTGTTTTTCTTGACGATACGCAGCTAGAAGGTTTTTTTCTTTTAATGTCAATTGACTATGACAGTGTTGGCAGGTGCGATGCGATGTGCAGTAAATATGGTCTAACATACTGAAGCAGGATGCAGATGTCACATGAACTGGGCCAAATTTGATATAAGCCTCCTAAAAAGGATTAAATATTTGGGGCCAAATTTAGACTGGACTAGCTGCTGTCACCCACAAATGTCAATAGATGCAGTAATATCCCTGAACTAACTTGCAACAATTAAGCTTGAATGACACCAACTGCCTTCTATGCCAGGTCAGGAACTTTTCCCATTGAACACCAACCTGCTGATTTTAATTGGCAACAACTTTCCAGAAGCTCCAGAAGAGAAAGGCCTTTCCCAGCACTTTCTCTATGAAGGCAGAGAAAAAAATGATTCTGACTTTTAAAGGTTTGTATATAATACAGATGAAATCTCCTTCAAGTCAGCTCAGTTGCTAGGGACTTCATGGATGTGTTCGCATAACATTCTTGGTAGAAATATGGAAGTCATTTGCTCTTGTTTTCTTCTGGGATATATTTCAACATCCCAATCTAAATTACAATCCTAAGATTTGCTGGAGCTTCCAAACCATGACTTCCTACCTTCTAGGACAGATGAGATTGGTCAGGTGTTGTGATGATGTCAATGTTTGGTAACCAACCAAAATTTTTATAGTTCCCTTTTATAATGATACAACCAATCCTGGTTGATGTTTGTGGATCTCAATAGCCTCTCAGTGCAGGCGGACAAAATACTTTCATATTTGTTGACAGCTTCTGTGTGACCTTGAACTGAATTTTATTATCATTATGGTATAGCACAATAGAAAAATGTCAGAAGGTTAACAAAGATTGGTTATTTGCCTGTTCCACATCAAGATTCTGCCCAAAAGCAGAACCAACCAAGAATCAGCTCCTAAAAATGGGATAATCATACATTTGCCTGGACAAGGGTCTTCTCAAGACTCAGCTGCTCAGACTAACCAACCAGGATTCAGCACCAACAATGAACCAATCAGGAATGAGCACTCCAAAAATGATCAAAGGCCAACATGAACAATGTATCAATCAGGAACAAATGCAACCAAAGCAACCAATTGGGAACAAAGAAAGAACCAATTAGAAATCACCTTGCCTAAAGACCAATCAGAAGTCTGGCCACTTGACTATAAAGACAGGAGCCTGGTTAATCTCTACTAAGTTGCCTATAAAATATGTGGAAATCTATTATCTAGACTCATGGTCACAACTAAACCCTGATGCCCAACAAATATTGGCTGTGAAAGCTTATACCTAGTATAATGAACCAGGAATTCATTAAACCAGAAATATCACCCGAAGCTAAGATTACCAATTAAAATCTATCTTAATTTAGTCATGACATATTTATATTTCTTAGAAAAATCAGTTATACTAGGGATAATTGGATGTGCAACAAAACCAGGTTGGCCAGAATTCACTGATACTGTGCAATATAGTAGCTTAAATTCCTTGTATGTCTAATCACAATTGACCAAATAAAGTATTCTATTCTAAATCTATAAACACTAAACAACCTTGTGAAATATAAAAAACAGAACATGTGACTTAACAGATGAAAACAAAGATTGATCTATTTTATATTTTCTATAATAGAACGTTCATTTTTTTTCTCCAATGTAGAAATAAAGTGACTTGCAACAAAATATCATGAATTTTAAAAAAAAACTAAAGGTTTTTTTTACACTAAAGGAAAAAAAAAATAACAACAAAACCTTAACGAAAAAATAAAAGAAAAGTGCCTGATAAGAAGTGAAACAAGGTCAAAGACATATGTTCAAAATGTTATTTCATAAACTGAGCATAACTATAAAATTACCTTTCTCTTGTTCCTTCCAGATGAATATCTGGCAGAGATTGGACTGTAAGATGGGACCATAAGGTGGGCAAAGTTCCCATAGGGGAGAATTTGATTCATGAAGGACTCTTGTCTCAAACTCTTTAGAACTTCCAGGACTTTGCATTGAGCTGAAAACAAATAGATAATCACAGGTCTTTCATATTATATATCCCATTCAAGCAACATTGGCTTCCATATTTTGAACAAACTAAGGCTTCAGACTCTCTTACAGTCCAAAAAGATGACACTGCTAATGTTTCATTACCATCTGCATATTTGTAAGCAAGGATGGTTGCAGAATATGCCTAAACTATGAAGTTCATTCACAACACCATCCTTAACATGCTGAATACATCTAGGATCAGCAGGTCAAGGATTTCTTATTTGCTTTTGTATTGTAAATAACTTCTGTACATTCACAGTCCTGGGTTAGAGAGTCAGAATAGGAGAAGATTAGCATTATCTGAGATGTTGTCGATTCTCTAAATATTAAAAATTATGAATCGGAGAACTAGATGGATCATTGCAGAAACTTGTACAAGGGAAATCCCTCAACATCATCTACTAAATTAACCATTTGTCTAAAATGATATCAACCAGGTGGTTGGGCTAGAAGACCTTCAAAGTCCCTTCCAACTCTGTTATTCTGAGAGCCACCTCAGACTTGTCAGTCTTTCCAGGTATTCTACTGGAAACATGATGAGAAAACCTAAATTCGTTTTAAGAAAGGATTACAAAATGGTGTCTCATATATACAGCTTAGAAGCATATACCATAGTAGTTGAAAGCAATGTAATACACAACTTAATGTTTTCATAGAAAATATTTTAATACAATTGTGTCTGTGTTCTTAAGACTGAAAATATATCTCTAAGAATTGCTAGCTGTTGATTTTTCAGATAAAACATCAAATATTGGTAATTACTTTCCAAGCCCTAAAGAGCTTGAGTCTGAATGCTCTAAGAGGGAACATATTTCTACATTGTTGCTATGGCTTATAGAGATCTACCTGCAAGTACTCCTAATAGTGACAGGAGATTCAAGGTTTCTTTGTTAGGGCAAAATGACACACATTCCTTCACTCCTCTTTGTACTACTAAGTGTAAATCTTAATCAATAGCCCTGGTAACTCAGAGGAAGAAACATTTCCTTCTTAGCACCAGGTTATCTGTGACATTCAGAAAGGTTCTCAAATTCTATTGCTGTTCAACATTTAGTAATAGGGTTGCTTTATAAACTAACTCACCTACCTTTGTCTACATTTTCATGGACTTCTTCAGTCTACAGTGTTTGGTTGACAATAAAAATACTTTGGCATCGGCTATAATTCAGATAATCTGAGCTGAAACTAAATGGACAGCGACTAATGATAAAATATTAACTTCTACTTAATTTAATGATTTAGACTTATAATAACTTTATTGTCACTTTAAATGTACACTAATTGGCATTACATTAAAATGAAATGTCATTGCACACAACTCTCAAAGGGTCACCACCTCTAATATATACTACGCAAACATGACAAAAATATAAAGAAATAAATAAAAGATTATGCATATACTCACATATATCATATGACACAGAAATACAACACAGTCTAGTTCAGATGTATAAATGTACATGGTGAGAAAAACAAATCTTGTGAGTTTACCAGATGGACGGTATAGGGAACAAAGCTGTTACAGAATCTGATACTCCTGGTAGAAATACTTTGAAACCTCCTCTCAAAGGGGAGCAACAGAAACAGACCGTAAAGTGGGTGTGTGGGGTGTGATGACCAGGGACAAGGCACGAAGGTCACACAGCCAGTTGAGAGTTCAAACACCCCTTTAATGCTCCAAATTTCCCCCTAAACGCTCCCACATTTAAGCCCCAGAGCAAAGTGCACATGCACACAGGGCAGCCTTTGGCTGCGCACAGTCCAGCAAAGCAAAGGAACAGGGAAATGAGTCCACAAAGCAAGGAAAAAGCAAGCAGTCCTGCAAACTCCAAATGTCTGTACTGGCACACCAAACTCTACAAATTCAACATTTACTCCCAACAAATGCCCCTTCCCACAATGTCTCCTTAAATCTCAGTCCCCAAGTGTGCCTTGTGAAGAGGAGTGGGGTACTCTCCTCCTGAGTCATCAGGTCGGCCTGCGCTGTTTCCGCCTTCTCTCTTCTCTCCATGCTCGGGGATCAGGAGGGAGCAGTCCTTGCTCATTGCTTGAGCTCCATTGCTCCTTATTTCCATTGCTTGCCCTCACTGTCATCCTGCCCCTGTTCCTCCATTCTAACAAACCATCCCAATCCTGAGGGGCCTTGGGCTGCCTCATCCTGCTCCTCCCCACATTTCTCCAAAGCCAATGAAGCTGACCTCTCGATCTCCATCGGCTCCAGCTCTGGCTTGTCCTCCTCTACAGATTCAGGCTCTGATGGGGCACGACATGGGGTCTCTAACCATGCTTTGAGCTCCAAGCACATAGCACATATAAACAGTATCCTGAATAACAGGAAGTGAGCTTCCTATCCTCTCGGCTGTCTTTACCACTCTTTCTAACTGAAGCACAATCATGCTTCTGTAAAAATTGGCCAGGACGGAAGAAGAAAGATGTACTTTCCTCATCCAACGCAGGAAATACAGGCACTGGTTTGATGACCATGCTGGCTCTTTCTGAAATCTACAATGATCTCCTTTGTTTTATTAACATTTAGAACCAGGTTACTTTTATTGCACCAGTCCACCAGAGCCTTCACCTCTTCCCTATAAGCATCTTCACTGTCAACCTAGATAAGACCCATGACTGTCGTGTCATCCGCATACTTCATAATATGATTTGTAACAGATTTAGCACAGCAGTCACGCATCACCAAGGTGAACAATAATGGATTCAAGACACAGCCTTTGGGGAACCTGTACTCAAGGAGATGGAATGGGAAACTTTTCTTCCAACTCGCACAAACTGGAGTCTATCAATAAGGAAATCAAGTATCCAGCTACATAAAGGAGTATTAAAACCTAATACTTTTATTTTATTTATCATAAACCTAATAATAATGTTATCCTGCCTTTATTACTAACTTAAGACAGCAAACATCCATAATATTCCTTCTTTCTATTTTCCCCACAGCTACCACTCTATGAAGAGAGTTGGGCTGAGAGAGAGTAACTGACCCAGAATCAGTCAAGATAGTTTTCATGCCTAAGGCAAGATTAGAACTCACAACGTCTTGGTTTCTAGCCTTATGCTTTAACCATTAGCCCGGCTTACTTAGTTATTTAGCTCTCATAATAGCTACAACAGAAGCTATGTTAGACAGTTGATTCAATTACTTTTAGTTTTCTGTCACTGATCTTGCTACTGGACCAATTATAATCTTCCTTGGGGTTTTTTTCTGTTTCTAATCAATTTTGTAAATGTGTGTTTATTTTTTTAAGTAGAAATAATAATAAAATTTATACATTAAATTTATGCTATACATTACAAGAATAAGATTAAAAACTATTTTAAAAGTGAAATGTTTAGATGTGATTTATACCTACAACATTCTGTTTAGAACTATCTTTAAGCAAATAAAGGCTAATTATTACATCAAAAGGCATACGTTTCCTGAAGAATTTCTTTTTTTCTTTCTTTCTTTCTCTCTCTCTCTCTCTCTCTTTCTTTCTTTCTTTCTTTCTTTTGCTTTTTATTTTTTAAATTGTGAAGTGTTAACTTTATCTCAACAGTACATGTGGTCAAATTTTATAGTTTCATTTTTATATTTATTTAGTGTACCTATTTAGTTAGTTAGCTTTGAAAACATCATTTCAAAATTCAAACATATACAGAGTCTTCAGATATAACTCTGAAGCTAAATATATACTATGTCTTAGTTTTGTGAGGAATTATATCTTATCAAGTTTTCTCCAACACTCCTACAAAACCTGGCATCCTTTATCAGGCATATTTTAGATCAGAATGGCCATTTCACAATATCAATTAATTTTCTCTTCCCTAGAATAAAACAATCCTTACTATGTAAGTTATTTCAAGGTTTGCTACACTTTGGTAATCAACATCTGAGCCATCATTCTCCTGACCTCAAATATACTCATTTTGCTAAACTATTGTTCCCATATTCATTTGCATTTGATTACCTTCCAAATTTCATCCAGTTTCTTATCTGAGATTCCAAATGAAAAAGAAAGGAAGGAAGGAAGGAAGGAAGGAAGGAAGGAAGGAAGGAAGGAAGGAAGGAAGGAAGGAAGGAAGGAAGGAAGGAAGAAAGAGGGTATATGCATTGCAGTAAAATATGGTTGAATATTTTAATACAATCCCTATATCGTTTTTTGCCCTACTTCTATGTTTTCCCATATGCAAGCACAACAACAGAAACAAAACATATGTCCCCATATGAAAACCAATCTTCAGAGTAGAAAAATATGATATACTGCAAGACAAATATCACAAAGGTACACCATCACATGACTAGTGATAATATGTCCAACTACCAAAAGGCACGTAAAAGAATCTTCTAGTGGTAAACCTTATGTTTTGCAGTAACAAATTAAAAATAACAAATTATTTAACAATAGGTAATGATATGATTCCCAAAGATGGAAGCATTTTGCTTAAATGGGTAAAATAACCTCCTAATAGCTTTTGTTCCATCAACCGTTACATAAAATTATAAAACTGAGAAGAAAGAACAGTAGCATCAGCTTCAAGCAGCATCAAGCATACAGTATTTCCCCATTTTATTATAGTTCCTACATAGTCTTCATATGACAACTTTACGTCTGTTTTCTAATCAATTATTACCATATATTCCAGATCTTATAGTATTCCGGTTCTTCTCTATCTTTTAATTCCATAGTTCCATTAAAAACATTTTCATGTGCAACACTGCATAAGTGATAGAGCTGCCCTTAGCTGTAAGACTTGCATAAACTCTAAAGAATGCATTGATGGATTTACCTTTCACTTTTATTTTCCTAGTGCTGGACTGAAAAGAGTTCTTATTATAAGTGTTAAAAACTCCACAAGCAGACAGCCCTAGACATGTCAGAAGATTCAATCTAAATGGAGACAAATTATTATAATTAACTTATATGACAAATCTTTGGAGGAAAAGGTCTGCTAGTTATGTTTTTAAATCAT